CAAATTTATTTTTCCGCGTAGATGTGTATATGGAGGCACATTTTATAAACTGGATTTAACCAAGTCTAAGTTTTGAAAAATTAGATCCAAATAGCATATCTTGTCAAAATGGAAAAGGTTGAGAATTGAGATATACACAAACATTTATATTAAAATTTCCGATTACTTTTGGACCATTTCCCGAAATTTTTTTCGGTGGTGTTAATATGGTCGGAAAGTGGTTCAAAATTTTGGTAAAATTTTCCAACCACTCGTAAAACTTGCCGTAAAACTGTTAGAACAATTTCTGACCACCTTTATATATTGATCAAAATGTGATTGAAAATTGACAAGTTTTCTTGTTATGTGATAAGTATCATTTTACACAATGTACATTTCATCTAGGCATGTTACAACTTACAATGAAAGTAAAAGAACCATCGATTAAGATATATATATATATATATATATATATATATATCTGTAAATTCTAATAGAAATTTAGAAACAGACGAGTGCTAGCAATATAAAAAGAACGATTGAAATTGATTTAAGTAGCCTAGTGACTATATATAAAATCTTAACTTAAAAGTGATATCATGTTAGTAGCTGATAAAACATCATCAATGGATATAAACCTTACAGACATTATATCGAATAAGTAACGGAATTAAGTGATATACTAATGTCTACACCTCGCATGGAAGTAATATAATGTCGATTAATATATATTCATAATCCATGATTCTTTAGCGTAGCCAAAAAAAAAAAAAAATGTCCATGATATTGTACGTAGTTGGAATTCGAATTTTTGTATATGTACGGTCTATACATCATCACATCCGATAGCTGATACTTTCCATCACAAGAATAGTTGAATTTTTCCCTACAATACAAAAATATAGTAAAAAAATATTGCAATGATCTTCAAAAATCCTGGTTAATTAGAAATAATAGTAACTTGAATTTGCTACAAATGTATATTAAATTTTTTTGTCAACAAATAACCACAATAACTTGTGAATCGTGATTCTCGTTTTCACAATTTCATTAATACACTCTTTTAAGGATTCATGATTCCGCACACAATTTACTCATGTCTCAGGGTGACCACCAAGCGTCAATATGTGTGTTTCTATATACAAATAAATATGTAAGCACAACGTAGATATAGATGAACATAACAAAATACTAATAATTAAAGTAGAAAAGGAACGTAATAATTTAAAAGGCAACGCAGTTCAACCAAAACGTGACGATCATAACATAAGAATTTTATTATTATATTTTTGGACTTCGAATCATAACATAACAATTATGTTATTGCGATGCTTTGTATTTGTACGTCTGTCACAGACCAACATGTGTTATTTTAACTCCCAAATTTTGAAAGTATATTGGTCAAAATTTATTTTTTAAAGTATAGGTATTAATAGATATAAAATATTGATATTTTAATCATGACGCTATTCGGAGACATTCGCCATGTACACAAGCAAACTTAATTTCTCCATCATCAAATGCTGTTTTCTTAATTGACATCATATATATGTATTTTAATGGTGAAAAATCTTTCAGAACTTTGGTAAGTTAGCACCCACATCTGTCTAACTAGAATTAAAATTAAGTACATTTGAAATAGTCCGAAAAATACATAGTTATATATTATTTTGGCAACAATTATTTTTTTTTCGTTTTCATGATATAATAGTTAGAATATTACAGGATAAATAAATTTATCATATTTTTTCTCTAAATGGTATAAACATTTTACCCGGAATGGTTTGAAATGTCACCAATCAAACCTATACATGCATGCAATTCAATCTGTTATAATTTTTTTGATAACTTTTATGAGCTCTCAATCCAAAACTAATTGATATGAATAAATTGATTCATGTTTTTATATTATCTTAGGTTCTATATTAATTTTGACGTGGATTCTTAAAATGTTTAGATCTATATTCGCTATTTGGAGATCAAACTACCGCTTAAATGAGCTTCTAACTATTGGTTTAGTTTCGTAGTACAATAATTCGAATAATTAAAAGGAGTAACACTAATTTGAATCACATATAGTCATATATTTTCCTAGGTAGATGGAGAATATAATGAGCAGGTCAAATTGATAGAAGTTTCTTTTGATCACTTCCATTAAACACCGTTAAGAAATGCAAGAGAAGTCACATATGAACAATGACTAACCGAGCACGAAATGACAATGACTATGTTCTTTTATTAAATACTACATTTGATGATATATGCCGATGGGTTATTGGTATTAATTTTTTATCATTATTATATAGTGAATATCACTCCTTCCAATTAATCAGAAAAATCGTAAGCCAACCAGTTTACTATCTTTTTTGTTGATACTTAGTATTATTTATAAAACTTGAGTGTATTAAATCAGATTTTTTTCTTAGAAATTATTAAAGAATAAAAATACGCATTGATCTTTTTTTTTTGGTTGCTAAAAGCACAAAGTTGATCATTACTCAAAGATACGAATCAGCTGATTAAAAAAAAAATTCTAATTGTTTGTTAGTAATAGATTAGTTGTAAAACTTATCTAATTTTCCTCAAGTCCCTGGAAGTTTGGAACTACATACAGGTTTGGATAAAAGATGAACATTAGCCAAAAACTTTGTACTACTCCGTCATACAGTTTTCTTGCAGCAACTAAACACTGGATCTTATATTTTTATTTTACTTTATGAGATAATTAAAGGTTTTTATGCCTAATTAACATCATAAACCGGCTAAATAAAGTCCAAGAAAAAGAAAAGAAAAAAGAAGATGTTGGAGCAATTGAGATATTATAGGATGACATGATGAGATTCCAAAGAGAAATGGGCACATGCTTCATCATAGATTTGGGGAGTTTCACCAAAAGGAGGCAATAAAATTATTTGAGGGAGAATTGCTGCATGTTGAAGATTTACCAATAAGGAATTTTTTAAAAGAAAAAAGGGAAAAATAAATAAAAAGAAAAAGAAGAAGCATGTTGGGAAAATGCTTGGCCTCCTTTAGGCAAACAAGTTCATGTGTTTCGTTGTGAACTATTTTATTTTGTACCAAAATATGTTTAGTTAGGGCTCCAAACACACGCAATGTATATGTTGAATCTATAATCATACCTTATGCGAATAGCCCACGTACGATCTTTCTTGAATTCTTACGCATAATTGGTTTACTTTTGGGGTTCAGTTTCTGTTTCACTCATAATATGAAACATTATATTAACGTCAAAAATATGAAACATTGAATTAATGACAAACAAGCGAATTTAAGAATTTCCAAATAGAATTTTGACGGTTTCTGATTTGTCAGAAATTGGTTTGAAAATTTTGAAGGTTATTTTAGCAAAAATTAAAAAAGAAATATTGATGATCACAAATTTTGATAAATTTTTGATGGATTTAAAATTTTTGTATGTTTTCTCAACAAATGATAAATATACTGTTAAAGTTTTATGATCTGTCTTAACACTAAAGTTGCGATCTTTGTGCTAAAAATTCAATTTTCTCTCTTGAAAGTGAAGGTCACTCGGGTGTTTAATAGACAAAATAAAAAGCATGTGCAGAAAATATAAATTGACACACAAGATTTAAGGAGTTTACGTCCAATATGCGTTGCTACTAGGGCTAGGGCTGGCCATTCGGATAATCGGTTCGGTTCCGGGTAGGAACTGTTCGGTTCCGGATATTTCGGATATTTCAGTTTGAGAACTAAATAAAAACCGAACATGTTTCGGTTCGGTATCGGTTCAGATCCATTTTTTTTGGATCGGTTCGGTTCCTAAATTTTAAAACCGAAATATAACCAAAATCGATCTGATATCAATCAGTTAAGATAGTTTGGACCCGAAATAGAAAAAAAAGAACCGAAAAACCCGAAATAAAGCAAAAATAATCGAAAATAACCAAAGCAAGCTTCAAGTTCAACAACCACAATGTCATAAAGTCTGAAACGTAAAACATAAAACAAAGATAACTTCTAAAGTTCAAACTCCAACGGTCCAACCAGTCTAAAACTCAAAGAAACATAAACAAAGTTCTTAGAAATATCCAAAGAAACATTAGACATAGATAAAGTCCAAAGATTGAAAACGAAAGAGACATGATAAATGCCATTCCCATTGGCATTGCTTCTTGCATACTTGATCAGTTGGCTGAATATAACTCCATATTAGTAACACCATCATCTACAAGTACACAAAACAATAAAGCATTATAAGTAGTTAAGTACCAAAAGTGAATCTTACCTCAATATCAAAAAGAGATCGACAACAGTTTTTCTACCTCAAAGTGAAACTATCAGCTACATAGTTCATACGATCAAAGCTTTCATCACAAGTTCAAGTTAAAATCAGGTTCAAACTCTGAATAAAGTAAAAAAAACAAATTACAGTTAGAGTTCAATGGAAACAAAGGTCATAATAGACATTAGAAACTAGAAAGTTACCTCTATAAGATCATCTTGCTGCTCAACATCTCAAAGAATTTGTTCAAATGTGGAAACTCCTTTTTCGTTAATGTGAATCTCACATTTCAACCACTGTTGGGTACACATTAAAACTTCGACCATATAATGTGTCAAGCAGCTCCTATAAGGGTTTAGCAGTCGACCGCTAGTGCTAAAGGCAGCCTCGGATGCCACTGAAGACACCTGCATTGCAAGAACATCCTTCACAACCAGTGAGAGAACCGGAAACTTAGAACTGTTTCTACTCCACCACCCTAAGATATCATCCTCGGCACCTTTCACCAACCTTGGTTTGTCTACAGGTTCTTTTAAGTACAACTCCAGCTCATTTGTTGTTGTCTCTTCAACTCCTGTTTCTTCTAAAAGCTCGTCGTATATGCTATCCATTCTCTTATACCCGACACCATTTCTGAACATCTTTTCTCATACACTTGAGACTGAGAAGATGACCCTTGCGACTGAGATCCTAAACCAGAAGCAGTAGTACTAGTAGTAGTTTTTGCAACTAGACTACTATACTCCTCATACAAAGACTACAGGATAAGCTCGGCTAAATCATAGAGATGGATAGCCTCTGAACTTCCTTTCCCATAAAGTGATTCGAAGCACAGCTCAGCAAACCGCATCTTCTTCCTTGGATCAAAGATTGGTGCCACTATCATAAGCTTGTTCATTTCAACTTTTTCACCAAAGGGATTCCAATACTTTCCTAACTTCTTATTCATAAGATCTGCTTTCTTCATCAATTCCGAATCAGGCCCTGGAGTAGTGCTAATTTCACTAATGTTGGTGGTGATAGTGACAATCTCATTGTACAGTTTATGCGCAGTCACAGAAGTAGAAGCAGACAGAACTAATGTGGAGTTGTAAAATATGACCAGAAACTGAACTAACCTGTCGACTGCTTCCCAATCTGATGAAGTTGGTGGTCCAACTCTCTTTACCCCTTCCACAGTTTCCTCGAAGTAGTCATTATAAGGTTTGTCTTCATCTTTGATCTTCTCAAATGCCATTCTGAACTTCATAGCCTTATCAAGCATGAGATAAGTGGAGTTCCACCTGGTCTTAACATCTAAAGGAAGACTGCCTCTAGTCACCTTCCTTGTTTCCAGCCGAAGGTCAAATGCCTTGACTTTGTTCGTTGAAGACCTCACATAATGCACACCATTCCGTATAGCACTGACACTGCTATATATCTCCTGCAGTCCCTCCCTTACTATCAAATTCAAAATGTGAGTGGCACACCTCAAATGTAGATACTCTCCTTTAGGAACCATTGCATCATCACCAACTAGCTTAAATTTCTCTTTGAATTTCCGCATAGCTGAGCTGTTAGCCGTTGCATTATCAACCGTGATGCAGAATACTCTCTTTATTCCCCACTCTTGCAAACATTCCAGCAAAACATTACAGATAGTCGACCCTTTATGATCCAAGACTCTTGAATCCGATGATCATCTTCTTCATCTTCCAATTCACATCAATGAAATGCGCGGTTACCACCATATAACTTGCTCCAGTATATGGTGCAACCCATATGTCCGTAGTGATTGATAACCTCTGCTTGCTCTCACTTATAATCCTCTTCATTGCTTGCTTACGACTAACAAACATCTGCACAATGTCTCTAGTTGCATTTCTCCGAGACTGAGGAGTGTATAGCATCACCTTTGAACAGAAGGTGCTTCCACGCTAAGCTCTCTATGAAAGCTAAAGGTTGTTCTGCTAAAACAATCATCTCATTTGTAGCTTCCCTAACTATCGCTTCCGATTCCCTAGCAACACCTAGATTCCCATCATTATCAGCTAGCACAGATTGATTACCTTCTTTGTTCGCAGCTCTCCATGCCATGAATGCTTTGCATCCTAATATATGCTTCCGCAGATTTGATGTGCCCGACTTTGTACTACAGCTGAATTCTCTGCAGCAGTAATGACATTTGCATTTGTCGTAGTCATCTTCGTTCCTGGTGAAGTGCTTCCAGACTTTAGACCTTGTTCTCTTCCTCGATCTAGAACCACTGACTCTCACTCCTGACTTGTCTTTCTTCTTCGATTTTTTTGCAGGAATCGGTGTGACATGGTCTTCATCTTCTGTTTCAAAGTCATCGTCTTCATCCATCGGGGTCTGATTAACATCTGATTCTTGTTCATCGCAAGATGCCATCTGCAACAACAATCAAATACACTGATTTACGATGACAAATTTCAAAACATATAAACCCAAAATAAAAATAGAAACTTCAAACCTCTGATTGATTCCGAGAAAATGCAGACAACGGCGGTGCCGGTGAAGGTGAGGGGATACCGTCGTGATCTAGGGTTTCCAGATTTATAATGGGGGATTTCTCTTTTGTAAAAGTGAAAAGAGGAAGAGAAGAAGGATCGGGCAATCGGTGTGTGTTGAGGAGTGGAATCGACAAAATGAAAAAAACAGTCGGCTAAACCTAAAATCATAACTTCAACACACACTTCGGATCTCTCGGGTAACCGATTTTGTTTCGGATATTAACCGGAACCGAACCGAGATCCACGGGTCTACTTGAGGCATATCCATCGGATATTTTACGTATATCCGAACCCGTAACCGAACCGGTTTTTTCGGGTTGGTTTCGGTTCGGGTAATCGGTTCCGGATAAAATGCCCAGGCCTAGTTGCTACGTCTCCCCGGAGAAGTTCTCCCGAAAAATCCACTAAATCCTTAGCTCTATACCGATATATTTACACCTCACTCTTCTCTGCAACTTTACACAAGCTCTCACACTTACACTACTAAAGATTTATCCCCTTATTTATATCCAAGAGGAATATTCTAGATACAAGTTTGTCTCTTAGTAGTCTTTTTACACAGATAAAAAGGAGCTGCTGTAGGCTCTGATCCTCCTATATCAGAAAGCATGCTTGTGTTCCCTCTGCTTGCATGAGATTGTACGAGTTAGGTGGGAAGTCCTTTTCTTGCCTCGGAATTAGAGACTGTCTTCTGTTTCTTCCTTTTGTTCAAAGCCGTTAGAAGACTCTGTCTCAGACTGAGACTTTAGCTGCTTGTAAAGACTCTTTCCCATTCTGAGTCTTTGACCACAGCTCGTCTTTGTTGACTTTTCCTTTGAACCTTTTGCAATAGTATTCAAGTTAACTCTCACAAAACTCCACTTTGGTTTGAATACTTAACCTCAACTTGGTTCTTGATTTAGTGTCCTTGGATTTTCCCCTTCTCTGGATTCTTTTACTCTCCTTAGTGACTTGAAATTATGAGCAGCGCCAAAACCTTTTAAACCTTGCTCACTGGGACAATCTTGGTAAAGATGTCTGCAGGATTCCACAGAGTCGATATTTTTGAAACCTTGATGCTTCCCTCTGCAATCTTATCCCTGATGAAATGCAGACGTACATCAATGTGATTAGTTCTCTCGTGATGCACATAGTTCTTAGACAGAGAAATGGCACTCTGTGAATCACACATGACTTCAACATTTTTTTGTTCAAATCCCAGCTCTGCAACAAGACCCTTTAACCATACAGCTTCTTTCACGACCTCTATTAGTGCCATATATTCAGCTTCTGTTGTAGACAAAGCTACCACCTTTTGTAAACCTGATTTCCAACTGATGACATTACCACCACCTGCAGTGAAAACAAACCCTGTAACTGACCTCCTCTTGTCCAAAACTGCATAGTCAGAATAACAGAACCCTCTGATCTCAACACTGTCTTGTTTCCTGTAACTGAGCTTCAAATCTTGAGACCGTTGATGTACCATAGAACCCACTTTACTGCTAACCAATGATATTTAGATGGCTTGCTCATGAACCGGCTTATAACACACATAGGATATACTAGATCAGGTCTTATACCGATCATGGAATACATGATACTTCCTACCGCGTTTGAATACGGTATAGTCTTCATGTATTCTTTTTGAGCAATCAACTCCTCTTCTGTTGCAGCCTTGAGTATAAAATGAGTCCTCAACGGTGTCTGAACCCTCTTAGACTGATCCATTCTATACATATGCAGAAACCTTCTTCAAATAATTTCCCTTAGACACTTCGAATGTCCCATTCTTTCTGTCTCTTCTGATTTCCATACCTAAGATCTTCCTTGCTTCTCCCAAATCATTCATCTCAAACTCAGAACCCAATAACTTCTTTACTTCTTGAATCTTGCCTTTATCATTTGCTGCAATAAGCATATCATCCACGTACAAGAGCAAATAGATAAAGGTGTTATCTTCAAGCTTCTTGTAGTATATAAAACTGTCGAAGTTGCTTCTCTGATAACCCAAATTATTCATTAAGGCATTGAATCTCTGATTCCATTGCCTTGGTGCCTGTTTCAAACCGTACAGAGATTTCCTCAGTAAGCAAACTTGATATTCTTCTCCATTCTTCACCTGATACCCTTCAGGTTATTCCATCAGTATGTACTCATCAAGATTCCCATGTAATAATGCCGTCTTAACATCGAGTTGCTCCAAATCCAGATCAAGATTAACCACATAAGACAAAATGAGCCTTATGGAGACATGCTTCACAACTGGTGAAAAAATCTCTTGATAGTCGACCCCTTCTTTCTGAAAATTCCCTTTTGCAGCTAACTTTGCCCCAAACATTGGCTTCTCTGATCCTTCTGCCCCTGGTTTTCTCTTGTAAACCCACTTGCAGCCGATAATTTTGCAGTTCTCTGGTTTTTTTTATCAGTGTGAACGTTTGATTATTTTGTTGCGAATGCATTTCATCATCCATAGCTTCTTTCCACTGTTCCCAATCTTTATCTCTCATAGCTGATAACACCGTATTTGTACCCATTTTCACCATTGATTTCAAATGTTTTTTCAAAGGTTTTAATCAGTTTAAGGAACTTTTATTATGATTTCCATGTATTTATAGTTTCAAAGCTCTTTTCAAAAAAATTAGGAAAAATGATGGCAAAATGGAAGAAATCCACTTTTTCAGCTTAGAGTCAGACCGTCAGAAGGTCAGCCTCAAATGAAGACTTTCTAACCGTCTGATCCAGCTAAAATTTGGAGAAAATCAAGAGGAGACAACCAGCTTTTCATAGCACTTTACGTCACGAAGATCCAACGGTGCAATCGAAAGATACATGGAGAAACAATTGACACAATTCACCGGCCTGGGAAGACTCTCACCCGCGGGAAAGTAGAAGTTGACCTGTCCTGGAAGACTTTCACCCCCGGTGGACCTAAGGACGAGCCACAAGGCCCAACATCAAAGCTCACTTCGCCATTCCTCTTCAGAGGAGCCGTAAATGAGACCTGGAAGACCTTAGGACCTATAAATACATTTCTTAGCAGTCCTAAACGGGTGTGTGCTCCTGTAATGAGATTTTGAGCCACCAAACTTTGTTTTTCTAGGGTTAGGCGATGGATATGGGGATTCTTCCCCTGATCCATTGTTATTTCTCTTTTCTATCCTATTAACTTTTTTGTTTCATCTTTTGCATTCTTTCATGTCTTTTATCATTCCTTGCATCATGTAGATTTGTCCCAGAGAGTCAAGTTGTTTGAAGAGTCATTCAATAGGTACACATATCGATTAGGATTTCTAAAGTTCTAAACCATATTCTGGATCTCAACTCTTCTAAGTTGTTCATATTGTATGAGAGTAGATTCATGACCTATTCTCTGAGCCTAGGATTGATCAGAGCCACGAGAGTGCTGTATCAGCTCATCCATACCTAGCTTCAGAAGAATATAGTCGCTATAGGAGTCAAGAGCTACCTGTAGAGAAGATGTGAGCAGACGAATTCAATGTCTAATGCATGATCTTAGTTCTGGCATGAGAGCGAGAGTTAATTGTCAGATCTGAGTGGTTAATTGATTAAGATAGCGAGAGTTGGTTAATCATACACATGTCTATTCTAGTTCCATGCAGATTCCATTAACAGATGAAGATAAATCGCCCAGAAGCTAATTGGAAATGCCACCAAACATCGATTAGAGTAAACCGGAGAAGTCTAAATCACCACCTATGAGTTTAGAGTCTATAGTTTGAGTCGATATGCTTGAGATAGTCTTTTAACAATTCATATGCATTGCATCTTATTTCTTTTGAATATTAGATTAGGTTTAGTTTAGGACTCTTAACCAAAAACCTAAATTTCCATGAGTTTATGACTTTGCTTACTTCCCAGTTTGTTGTTTCTCGCAGATTAGACATCCTCCCTGTGCATCGACACCCTAAGTCATACAACGTACATTTGTGCACTTGCAGACAATAGGGTTTTATAAATTTAAAACTTTTTGAGGACCAACGGGCTTGTTAATAATAAACCCTAGGCCCGCAAGCCCATCAATAGCGTCATCATAGCAATACAGCTCAGGATAACCTCCATCTTTTGTCACCACCAATGCAAAGCCTGATAAGAAATCTTCATCAAGTTCCACTAGATTCAAATCATTGAACTTTCCAGGTCTTCTAGTGACTCTTCTTTCTCTGCCTCTTGCTAATTGATAGTTTCTGATATCATTTCTAGATTGTGAACTCTCTTCTTCTTCTTCTTCATTGTCTTTAGTACTTGAGTGATGTTCTTCCTCTTGATCCCTTTCTGAACTCTCATCAGCTCCACCTAGA